ATTTTCATGAAGTCCAGTTTTCTGGGGTTTTTTTTTTGTTGTTGTTGTTGTTGTTGTTAAATTTGTCCTTAGTGTCATGTCCAGGAAGTCACTGCCAAATTCAATGTCATGAAGCATTTGTTCTACATTTTCTTCTAAGAATTTTATTATTTTAAGTCTTACTTTTAGGTCCTTGATCCATTTTGTATTCAGGGTCCAACTTCATTCATTCTCTTGCATGTGAATATCCAGTTTTCCCAGCACCACTTGTTGAAGAGACAGACCTTCCCCGCTGAAACGTCTTGGCACCCTTGTTAAAAATCCTTTGACCACATGAGAGGGTTTATTTATGGACTCTATTCTATTCCATTAACCTATCTATACATATCTGTCTTTATGCCAGTACAAGAGTGTTTTGATTACTGTAGGTTTGTATCAGGATTAAAATTTTTTTTTCTGGTTTTATTGAGATATAACTAACATACAGCAGAGTTTAAGGTATACAGCATGATGATGGGACTTTATGTATGCAATTGACCCTGAAAAACGTGGGGGTTTGGGGAACCGACTCCTGCAAAGTCAAAGATCTGCATGTAACTTTTACAGCTAGAGCTGGCCCTTTGCATCTGCCAATTCAACCAACCGTTGATTGAAATCAGTATTTCCAGTCTGCAGTTAGGAAGACATGGTTGGGAACGTGAAAATAAATGTTTCTGATCTCAGTTGGTTGAATCCAGAGGCGAAACCTCGGATATGAAGGGCCTGCTGTATTTACTGGGGGGAAAAAATCCACATGTAAGTGAACCCACAGTTCTAACCCATGTTGTTCAAGGGTCAACTGTATTGTGAAATAATGAAATGATTATCACAATAAGTTTAGTCAACACGACTAAATTTTTTTTCCTGTTTTGAGATTAGGATCTACTCTCCTACCAGCCTCCATGTATACTATATAGAACTGTTAACTATAGCCATCATGTTGTACATTACATCCCTCAAACTTAAATTTCTCTTATAACTGGAAGTTTGTACATTTTGACCTTTTCCTTTCTCCAGTTTCCCCTCCCCATCCGTCTTTGGTAACCACAGATCTGTTTGTGTCTTTTTTTGGATTCCACTTCCAAGTGAGATCACATATTTGTCATTCTAAGTTACTTCACTTAGCATGACAGGATTTCCCCCTTTTATGGCTGAATAATATTCCATTTGTGTGTGTATACATCACAACTTTCTTGCATTCATCCTTCAGGTTAATGCAAATGCTATGAAAATGGGAGTGCAGGTATCGCAGTTTTCATTTCCTACAGGTATATACCCAGAAGTGGAATTGCGAGATTGTATAGTCGTTTTTAACATTTTGAGGAATCTTCTATTTTCTGTAGTGGCTGCACCAGTTTATAATCCTACCAACAGTGCATAAGGATTCCCCTTTTTTCCACATTCTCACCAGCAATTTTTGTCTTATCTCTGATACTAGCCATACTAACAGGTGTGAGGTTTTCTCTCATTGTTTTGATTTCCTTCGTGATTCGTGATGTTGAGCGTCTTTTCACATAACTGTTGATTTTTCCTGTATCTTTGCAAAAATAATCTATTCAGATCCTTTGCCTTTTTTTTTTTTTTTTTTTTTTTGCTGCTACTGAGTTCTGTAAGTTGTTCCTATATTGTGAATATTAAGCTGTTACCAGATACGATTGGTAAATATTTCCTCCCACTCAGGCTTTTTCATTTTGATTTCCTTTGCAGTGTTTAAGCTTTTTCATTTGATGTAATCCATGTCTTAATTTTTGCTTGTGTTCCCTTTGCTTTTGGTGTCAGATCCAAAAAAAATCACCAAGACTAATGTCAAGGAACTTACCGACTATTTTCTTCTGGTGAATTCTATGTACCTAACCACCGTCTATATTGCTGTACTAATACCTATACAAACAGAATCCACATAAACCTGGACCTGTCCTCTAGGAACTACATTCCAGAAAGTATACCAAGATGTTAAAAAGTTTCAAGAGCATGAGATTAGTAATCATCAGACCAGTAGATGAGTGGTCTGTGCAATCTATAGCTCATGGCTACGTCCAGCAATAAAAGGCAAGGGTCTGTACCTCTACGTTAAGACCTATAACCAAATGACCAGTAAAAGTAGTTAAGAGGTGCTGGAGCCAGGGATAAATAGATGGGGAAAGCTTAAATAACTTCAGTTGTTGTTGAAACGAATCAAAGTAGGGTAACTTCCTGAACCTGTAATACTACTGTATTTGTGCTACTTAAAGGCTCAGAGGTACAAAGGACAGGACTGAAGCCTGCAGTCCTCCCTTTATATCCACGACGGAATTTTATGGTCAAGAATGAAGCAAACTTTTGACTGTGCAAGGGCATCAACTAAGACTTCCAAAGTATGTATATTTCTTGGCGCGTATTACTGTCTTTTGGTCATTTACCCAGTAAACATCTGGTGCTCCATCTGTGGGCTACGTGTCATGCTAGACACTAGAAATACAGAGTTGAAAAGGCTGTAACATACGCTTTGTTCCAGGAAGGAGTACCAGGGAACACTTACAAATGTGGAAAGGTATGAGTTCATCAGCAGACAAGGCGAGAAGGAAAGCACCAAGAGGCATGGGACAGGTTCAAGTCAGTCTTTTAGGGCACAGCATGACTGGGTCAGGAACATGCAAATAACGTGAGCTGGCTGGAGTTTGGGGAGATATGTACCCAAGACAGAACCCATTGAGCCCTAGCATTTAAGGGGTAAAGAAGGGAGCTATCAAAGACAGAACCCATTGAGCCCTAGCATTTAAGGGGTAAAGAAGGGAGCTATCAAAGACAGGTCATGGTACAAAAAAAACCAAGAGGAAGATCAAGGAGTCAGTAGCCAGTAGTAAATACTGCAGAAGTGTCAGGTACTACAAAGATGGAAGGGGGTTCATTGAATTGGCAGGTAGGGTGTGACCTACACTGGGCAGTTATGTGGGGTTTTTTTGTTGTTTTTTGAATTGTGGGAATATAAAGAAGGGAAACAAAAACCCATTCGGCATCATGTTGAAGACAGTACTATTCACTGAGTCCATGGAATAACTTACCTAGGAGAGCAAAAAGGTCAAGGAAAGTTGTCTCCAACCAGAGCTATTTTAAGGAACAAGACATCTGACTCCAGTAGTGAAGACATTTATCTATCTGTAGAGGCTAACAGTTCCATTCCAGAGCCAAGATGAAGCAGTAAGGCCAAGGACAGAGAAATCAAACTGACTTAGCACTGGGTGTCACAACATACGAACGAGTGCCCACTGCTTCCTGTTGTCTCGGTCTCCCAGGATAATAGCAGGCAGTAATCCAATCCCAAACGTTTTTTAATCCTCTTGCTCAAAATGGATGTTATGACAGAAAGGTAATAGAACTTTATGTAAAGAATTGTGAAGGTACTCCGAAGGGATTTTGACAATGCTGTTTGTGTTAAAGTTTTTCATGGTACTAGAAATTGTAGACAATCTGAAGAGTCTTCCAGTTTAAACCTGCCATTCTAATTTTGCAAGCTTTATAGAGAACACTGTTTAAATCAGAAACAAAACCAGAAGGAATGTCCCCCCAACCCCGCCGCCTCATTTCCAAATTCACAAAAATTGACTTGCAAACTGGAGTTTCCGGGGACAAAGCACAGGACCTGATTACAGTCAGGCATGGAAAACCCACCAGGCTTCTGTCAGCCAAAATGCCAGGGTAGCACTTCTGGACAAGTCAGGATGTCAAGGTGTTTTCTACAACAATTACAAAACTGTCTTTTCAGAAATCTTTTGGTAATCACTCTTTGAAATTTTCATTTTAAAGTAAAATTTTCATTTTAAACATTACAAAATGAGCAAAAGAACTAATAAGTATCATTAAAGTGGAAAATATTCTATGCACATATTTACATCATCAGGACAGTGCCTATGCTTAAGAGCATGGACTTCTGCGTCAGACGGAACCGTGTCGATTCAAGTGTTGTGTTGCTGGCTAACAGTCTCCCTCAATGAAATGACAAGCTATTTCAGACCTCATTTCTCCTGTTATAGCAACAAATGTCCAGCTTTTGCTTCATTAACCATGATCACTAAGGAAATACAACAGTCCACCAATGAAAGGGCATCCCCTAAATGTCAAAGGCCAATAGTTACCATCTCCTTAAAAATAGATATATAGACTACAGCTGATGGAGGCAAGAAATGCTTCTTCCCTGTGTCCAGGAACCCTCAGAATATGAAGGCAGAGTGTTCCAAGAGTCAGTCAGAAAGGTGAGTTTAAACTGTATGTTTAAAGAACAAATGTTTCATAGTACTTCCCAGGCAACAAAGATATAATGTAATTAACTTAGACCCTATCAAGTTTTTCTTCTCTTCCTTTGCAAGGTAAGTTGATAAACTTCAGTTATTAATAGCCAGAATTTGTGGCTCGGGCGTAGCTCTGTATTGTAGTTACAGGTAAGCTCTTATACACTTAAACTCTTATAGTTAATTATGCACTTAAAGTTTCTATTAATTAGCTAGCAACAAAACTCTTCAGGATTGTAGCAAATGTTGCTTTCTAGTTTTCTATCCAATTATTCAATATAACCTTGTTTTTGGTACCATAGATTAGAATTTACTGAGGACTAAATAAAGTAAAATAAAAGCTTAGAAGCACACAGTGCTTAATAGATACTCAAAGTATATGATACTTAAAACAGTACCCTTTCCTGGATAGGAATTTTTATTTGTATTTGCAAATACATTCTTCAGTAAGTTCTAAAATCTTCACTTAAAGTGAGGGTATGTGGAACTGAGATAGTTATTTTCATTTCCTTAAAAGAATTTAGCACACCTAAGACAAGAAAAAGAACCTATTTAAAAATACTGTTTTAAAGTCCTATCTGATGGTCCTCTGGCCAGGTATTTATTTAGGACCACCACCTTCAACTCCAACTGGTATTCCAAAGGGAGTAGTTACAAAAAAAAAAAAAAAAAAAAGAAATGAAGCATACAACTAATACAATTTATCTTACTCTTCACTTTTCTTTTTATTATTCAAAAGTCAAATATGTTATTTTTAAATCATCCATCCTCAATTGTGATTTAATGTACCGTCATTTCCCAAGATACGAAGTTTCAGAATCTCTTTGGAATACTAATTTCACGGTTCTAGGTTTAACAAAACTGTTGAAATTTTAAATTCCACTCTACTTCCCTGAATTCTCAAGACAGTTGCTGATGTAAATTTTAATATAAAATATTTAGTCACAAAATAGTATTGCTTTTGTATGCACATAGTTTTGTAAGATTACTCTGCTTCTGTCAATAAAAACTATACCATCTTTCATAAAACTCTAAACAAATTAAGAACTGTGATGTAAAACAAAAATTACACATGGTAAAACAGGTACCAGCACAACGTTAAGTTATATTACATCAAAAAAGGTTTTAATGGTCCCAAATATATATATTCAACTAAGCATACACTCGGGAGAAAAAAAAATCGAAAACAAAATGAAACAAAAAAATTATGACACAAGTGACCACATCTAGAATTCCACTCAATCTTTAATAAAGCAGGGACAAAACCCCACTTTAAAAAAAATCTGCAGTTCGAAGGGCAAAGGGAACAGATAAAAAAGAGGAAACTTTATATTCGCCCCTCCCCCATAGGTTTTCCAAACCTGTTGTAGTTTGACTAAAATGTTCAGAATGTAGGATTTTAAAGGCAGGTCTCTTTATACAAAGAAACTGCTGGCATTCTTAACTAGTTAAGAATTATGGCCAAAAAGCCTATTCTTCTGAGTCCCAAACATGGTCCGAGAAAGCATATTGATTGTAGCAACTGACCAGTCAATCCACTTAGAAAACCCCTGCCCTGTTGGCTTTATGTTTCCATTTCCTTCCCTGAGAAAAGGGCAATGTGTGGTCCAAGCTGGAGAGCTCAAAGGCTTACGTCTTTCCCCTAATGTGTAATATCCCCTCCTCCTGCTCCATTGAATTGGCACTTGATGAGCAGAAGTCAAGTGTGTGAGGCTGATCCGTGTCAGTCATTCACAAGAGACCACTGCTTTGTTGTGGATTTTGTAGGGGGTAGGGGTAGAGAACCAGTTTTTTCAACAGGTACTGATTGTAGGCAGTTGCCATTATTATGACTCAAACTTTGCTTTCTTTGACAATGGTAGCGTGTCTTCCTTGTCTTCATCCTCATCATCGTCTTCATCATCATCAGGATAATCTACCAGACCCACAAGGCCTCCCTGTTCAGAAACAAGGACTGTAAGTCTGGATAAAGGATACAGACCTCCCACACCCACTTCGATATACAACTGTGGTTATTTCTGGGTGGTCAGACTATATATAACTAAGATTCATTCTTTTTATGTAGTTCCTAAGTTTTCTACGGTAAAACAACATTTTTAGTAGTTTACAATCCTAGTAAATCCCAGGAGATAAAAACAATGATTAAATTTAAAATGCTTTTAAGATTAACATTGCATTAAAAATTTTTAAACGAAGTCTACACAGTATCAAATAAGGCAAAGAACATCAACAGACCACTAGCTATGTGAGAAGAGAGACTATCAGATGCTGGGAAAGTGGACTGGGCCTGTCTGTCCCCTCCCAATCATCTCATCTGGGCTTCCTTGCAGCCCTCTCACCAGAAGTCCCCGTAGTTCACTTTACCTGGATGGCTGGGGAAAAATTCACATTGCTCTTGCCCTGAGCATGTGCATCTCAGCTTTCTCACATTTGCTTTTGTACCTTAGGGGGTCTCCTGCTCACATCAGAGGAATGCACACATGTGGATGGGCATTATATTCCTGATTTAGATCAATAAATCCCAAATGCTAGTCTGTTATGCTAGTCTCGGCAGCAAAAGGCAACCAAAAGAATTGGTTTTTGTTCTCAGATGATGTCTTTCCTACATTTTTGGTATCAAAATTTTGATTTATTTTTATATGAAATGCTACTAATAATAGATGGTTAATTTCTTCTTATACACCGTGCTGGACAAAATAAAGTTAGGGATGTCTAGATATTTAGCTTATCTTTCCCCTACAAAGTATTAATTGGGAAAATTGATTTTTAAAAAACTTAAAACTTTTAAATTTCTCTATTTGAAAGGAAAAAACTTAAATTTCTGTAAGTGTTTTGACACACAAATCTGAACCTGAGGTTTTAAAATGAAAATAACCAAAATTAGGATGTATTCAGACTTCCGTACTGGTCATAAAAAATTTCAGACAATTCTCAACTTCAGGTAAATGCAGGTGGTGGTGAGAGAATGATTCTCTAGTTCAAAATGTTAAACCAGTTCCAAAAGACAGTGACCAAAGGGATTCTCAGTCAAAACAATTATTGTTGAGAAAGCTTAAGTGAGGCGGGCCTGGGATTCAGAAATGTACCTTGGTAGTAATAGCTGCCGTCTGAGATGTACTTTTAGGGACGGATCCAGGAGAGCCCGGAGACCCTGGGGACCCAGGCGATCCTGGAGAACCAGGCAGATTTGCTGCAGGTGACTGGCTGGTGAGGTTAGTCTTTGTCCCACTAGAGAGGGAAAGCTTGAAACTTGGGCTCTGCCGGCCGGAAAGATTTGTTTTCAGAAGCACCTCCTTTTCCTCACTTTCTTTTACTAAAAATAAGAATATTGTCAATAGCTGTCACCCGTATTTATCTTTTAAAAATTCCCCCAAGTGAGGTGACACTAAAACACAGACAGCTTACTTCTCTGCTAGAGAGAAGCACTGAAGATGAATTTCTGAACAAAGCTTAACAAAACACTCAACACCATTACCCACTGGATTTTACTAATGAGAAGGAATGAAACCATCAGTAATATATTGTTCTTACCCTTCCTGAAATTATTTTCTCCTTAGATCAAATTAAGAAAATTTAGCCTGTACCCTCCTAACACAGCTATTAATTCACTCTATAAAGCAATGGTCTTTAAAAATTTATGTCGTGACACATATAAATTAGATACTAATCATTGTGTCAGAAAACATAAATAAACCGAGAGAGAGAAAGACTTCATTTTTCCTTGCCCATCTTTTCAACATACATTTCTTCCTTTCCATGAATTTACTTATTGGATCCATAATATCATCATCATTTTTAGTTTTGTCGGATGGAGACACCACAGCTTCTCCATCCTCCATGTCATCTTCATCTGTGTTGAACCACATCTCCTCTTCATCTTCGAGTGTTCTGGCATCTCTTCGGTATCTATGGTTCCTCAAAATGGAACGCATACTGTGAATAAAGAGAAGAGGGTAGGGTAAGTAGACTCATAAAAACTTCTTTAGTCTTCAAGTATTGCTCTGAATTAGATCTAGTCTTATTCAGATAAATGGGGTGTAATAGATTTATGCTTTAGAGGCTGACAAAAAGTTTGTACCTGACATATAATTTAAAAACACACTCTGCCAAATCTAGTAGTAATTAGTAGAATCCAACTTCCTATTACCAAAATTGTACTATTACATATCAGTTATTAAACTTAACATTAGGAATTCACATAATTTATGGATTTTAAAATGAGACTTCAGGTACTTAGGAAAATGTGCAAGATTTCTTAAAAATAATTTGTAACCTTCAAGTAACTCAAAGCCAGCCCGGTAATATTCTGATTTGTCTGGACACATGAAGCCTCAGTGCCACATAAGCAGCACCGTTTTTCTTGTCATTAGCTTAATAGATGCCTGGGAAAGAGCCTGCAGATCATAACCACCTACACCTTCAGGAAAACATTTACAGTGACCATTTATCGAACACTGCAACTTGTACTCACTATCTGCTGTTTCGTCTTCCCCTGCCAAGCCAATGGGTAAAACACAAGCAAAAAAGAGCTGCTGCCACACGAAACTTGTCACTCACTGAATGAACAGTTCGAACATTGGTAATTTACCTGTCAAGTTTGGGATTATCTTGCCTTTCTCTCTGTTGTTCAAATCTCAATTTTAATCCTTTAAATGTCTGTACATAATCTACATCTTCCAGTGCTTTCCAGTAATTTTCAATGACATGTGCAGTCAATGACTTTATATCTTCCTATAGAAAATAAAAAAATGAGATGAAATGTTATTTGAGAAAGATAATGACTTAATTGTTGTAAAGTGACAAACTCACCAAGAGTTTAACTGCACAAAATTATTATACAATCTTAGAGGTCATCCAACAGTGAAAACGGGCCTAACGTATTGGGCACTTCAGCATTATCTGTGGGTCTTTCCAAAGCAAACGCGCAGGTCCCAATCTAGATGATTTGTACTCAGCTATGTTTAGGGTGGGATCCGGACATGGATATTTTATATCACACTCACCCTGCCCAGTGTGACTCAGCTGTTGGGGCATCATCCCGCAAACTCAAAGATCATGGGTTTGATTCTGGGCCAGGGCTCATGCTTGGGTTATGGGTTTGTTCCCCGGGTGGGACATGTACAAAAGGCAACCAACCAATCCACCTCTCTCTTCCTTCCCCGCTCTAAAAATCAATAACCACGTCCTCGGGTGAGGATGGATAGCTATGTATCAATCAATCACACCAAAGTGCCCAGTATGGACGGTTGTGATGGTTGCACAACATCGTGGAGGCACTCAATGCCACTGAATGAGACACTTAAAAATGGTTAGGATAGCAAATTTTGTATTATATAAACTTTACCAAAATTTTTTAAAAACCATGCCACAGATAGTTCTAATACATGCCAATGTTTGAGAGCTACTGGTGAATATATTATTAAAGATTCAGGAGTTGGCTATAAAATTGCTCTTTAGAAATATATGGGAGAAATACACAGTCAAAAAAGTTACACAAAACCACATCCAAATACTTATCAAATATAATTTTACTTTTTAAAAATGATTACAATAGTATTAACAGTTTTGAACTATCCTGTAATAAGGAGTCATAGCTGCTGAGAGAGATTATTTTAGTTTTTATTAGTTTGAATTGAATCTCTCACAAAGCTTTTGGGTAACACAGATTTTCTTTTAGAAATTCTCTTCAAATAAAACAATCTCAAATAAGCCAAAGTATCATTGATGTATATTCAAGTTTCTCAAACAATTAAAGCCAAAATTCTAACTAAAAAAAGTATAGAACCTACCACTCTAATAAATTCAAACATCTCTATTATAGCAGAGTTCATCAGATTGTAGCGGGATCCATTGTTGAGAAACGCTTTGACTACTGGTTCAAACAAAAAACTTTTCATTATGTAGCGGTTGTAAAACTCATCTTTTAATCCAATAATCTTTCTCTTAAAACGAAGAGCACCTGAAACAAAGAGGTGTTTTTCAAATTACACACCACATTTCCATATTTTAGACTTACAAAAAGAACTGTTTAATTAATATAGCTCTTTGTGCAGTGATGCTATTGCTTCCAAAAGTGTGAACCTGAAGATTACCAAAGGGTTATCAGAAAAATGCGTTCTAAAAGTAGTGTTTGTCATAACAGAACACAAGTCTTAGAGAGCCAGAAAAATTCTGGAAGTTACTAATGACTGGAATGTACTTTGTATCTGAAACAGAAGCTAAGATAGGGCTAAGAAATGAATTAACCTATCATACTTCTTAAGATGAGAGTTTTAAACATATCCTTATTTATAGCTATCTTCAAAACAATAGAAAAACCATTGCTTTTAGGGCAATCCACTGTATAATTTGATCATTATTTTTGGACACTATTTTGCATCAGAATTCATGGGTTGCACTGGTTTATTTATGGATGTGTCTGTAGAAATGCTATAAACCACAAAAATCTGCATGACCCAAAATTTGCCTTCTCATAGTTTAGAAATAAATTTAGAGGATGTTGTTTTTAAAATGTGGTCCTCTATCTTATTGCAGCGAGTATGCTTTTTAATTTTTTCAGTTTTTCTTTTTACAATTAATTAGGCTTTAACTTACAGATTAAAAGGTATATTTACATCTTGAGGCATGGGGAGTTGAGTCACCATTCGTCAAGATCCAAATATACAAACAGCTAGACTTCAACAAAGCCCTCTTTACCTAAATAGATTATCAGTAAGTTAATGCCCCAGTTATTGTAAACAGTTCAAAAAAGCATACTCACTTCATGCAGTCACATCGTCTTCGGTTGGCAAGATTAAATATTGTGTTTGTATTTTGGTTTCTTTGGAGATCATGGAAGTGGCTCGTTAAATTGCCAATTTGTTATTAATCAAGTCCTTCATGAGCAGGTAGCCAGGCAACCATGCTGACACGGTTTCTGGGTGGGAAGGCAGAGGAGTAAAGCAGCTCAATTTTTCTTCAGTTGGCAGAAAAGAGGTCCACAAGTGAATGCCCAATTAGGTACAGGTGACTATAAACTGCCTTAACAATTCAACTTTAAGAGTGTTTCTTTCTGAAGAGACACTCTGGGCAGGGAACTTCAAAATAGTTTATAGAATAGTAATTGCATATTATTTTTTAAACTACTGAATATTTTCAAATACATAAGCATGGTGAAATAAGACATTTTAAACAGTAAAAGGCATCTTTCTGTGTTTTAAGTCAACCCCGAACAAGGGTTTATTTTCCCAAAACAATGGTTTTAGAGTTTGGTTCTTCTTTTAATGTTACTAGACAAAGTAACCTAGGCAGTTAGTTCCATTTGTTATACTTTTAGAGCTCATGCTGCTAAGGCCAAATTTTAAGCTTTTAGTAGCTGAGGCAAGAGCTATTAAGAATTTGTACTCCAGCTTTGCCGGCTTTGTGGAGACTTGTGTCCTACTATCACACACACTAGCTGAACCCCGTGGTCTTTGTGCAGTTTCTGGGCAGTTCCTAGGTCAGTGAAAAGAAGCTCCCTTCCAAGAATTCACCAAGACCAGTGCCAGTGGCACCACTATCTCAAGAGCAGTTCTGTCAGAAACTGCTCCTGTAGACAGAAGGCAGTTCTAACAGTCTTTTTATTTTGCTCCTCTCATTTTCATTTGCCCTCATTTATTTATACAGAAAACTGTGTTGTTTCCACCCAAACCCCACCCCAAAAAGAAACTTGCATCAAAAAAAATCCAACCACCATTCTTTGCTGTTGAATAACAAGTTGCTTTCAAAAATTTACCCGTGCATTTTGTCAAGTCAAGCTGCTCAACGGGGTTTTAGAGAAAGCTTTCAGGATAGGACAAATTGGCATAACCACAGGATTTTCAATGTAAAGTGCACTCTGCTTCCACTTACACCTCTAACTTTCCTTATTAGCATGCAAGGAGTCTTTTGTGCTTAGTTTCAATTATCTCTAAAATAAGTAATCCATACACAAGACTCTACGCCTCATATGTAACTAATGATACAACTAAATAAAACCATCTCCAACATACTTAATCTCATTCCTCTTATATAAGATTTCCATATTTCCATATTTTGTCAATAAAAATACAGACAACAGAAAGATATGAGCTAAAATGTTACAATGTTCAATCCAAGAATCCTGAAAAGGCCAAGAAAGAAGACGGATATCACTGGTATATGTGTGTGCCTGTGTGTACATATCTAACGTGTAAGACTAAGTTTTGAAAGTATTGCTGGTCTCACTTACGGAGTTGATTAGTTGTCCTTAAATATGATAAAAATGTAAAAAGAGGCAGCAGATATGAAAAGTCTCCCCGAGTCCCCAAACTGTTTACATTTAAACACTCATTATCTTTTGTCCTTATAAGTATGCATCTAAATTTACTTATAAAACCCTTCCTTAAAAACTATACCTAGTATTTTATTTTAATGTACTTCTTTCTCAGAAATCCAAAAGTAAATCTTCTCAAATTTCTACTTAGTTCTTTCAGAAAGCCTTGATAAAAACTCCTCCTGTATACTGCAAAACCAGTCCTAAAGAGCTCACTCCTACTGACTGGCATCTTTCAGAAGCTACTGACATTCTCAATCCTGGGAAGACAGCCACACTGAGAATAATTTAAGAGTTAGGTTTAATGATAACTTAGTTTGGAAAATATTAACAATGATAAAACACAACTAAGACTTATCTGCCATGCTTAAGTTTCCTACAATATAAACTTTCATTAACTTGTAATGATTCTCTTCATAGTTCTCATCAAATTACAAGAAATTTCCTTGGCAATACTGTAAGCCAAATGAGAGAAAGAACCGAAGAAGAGGCCTTGCCTGCCACTCTCCCATGGGACTTGTGTTCTACTATACCAAACCACTAACACACCATACTTTTCTACATCTGCACATCTGAATTGTGTATTCTAATATGAACGTCACTCTCCCCTGACGAGGAGAAGCTCAATTCTTCCAAAATTTTCCTGATCTGCCTCATTCATGCAGAATAAACCATTTCCACTATTCATCTAAACACATCACAATGCAGTGCTTAAGATGTTGTTTGTTTTGATTTTTATAGACCATCCTCCTACATAACCTGATCCCCTTGACAGCTGAGTCCAGGTCTTAACCATCTTCATTTTCCTAGTACCAGGTATATATCACACTTTTTGAAATCTAAGATGCCAATGATTGCAAAAGAACTTTATCTTTTCCACTGCCAAGAAAACAAAATGAACGAACAAAAAGAGCTACAGATCATGACGTGCCATTGTTAAGACTCACCTTGATTTGAGAAATGATAAATGCATAAAAATATGTATCTTAGAATCAGTGAAATACAGTTGGTGTTTATTAAATTGAAATAAAACTGATAAACTTTTTATTAATTCTGTTGTTCCATTCTGTCCCATCTACTAACAAACCCCCTTTCCCACATTCAAACAAAATCTTCTACGGTGACATCATTCAAAGCAGCATTCATTATAAACTCCCTCTCAACTTGATCTTGGGGTTCTCACTTCTGCTGTGACAGGTATGTAAGGAAAATGCACATGAGTTTAAAAGCCCTTCTTTCACATGTGCTAATAAAATAAGCTCACAGACATATGCCAAAGTAGGATAAAACCAAAATAATTTATTTTTTGCTGTTTTTGGCAATATAGTTTAATGCCACCCATGCTACATATTACTCTTGGCTGAAAAAAGATTACTTAGGTAATATCGAAGGATTTGGATAATTACCAGAAATTAGTTGTACGGAATATCTGAAAATTGGAAAATGAAAAATATTCTCTGATCAGATGTATTCTCAGTACATACTGCAATGTGTGCACTGGCCTGAAAAAACTAAGTCAACTATAACAACTGTTACCCTGATAAAAAGAAAGCTGACTGAATTTTTTTAGACAGAAACCTGTTTCTAATACTATTTTAAGATAAAATGTTGATAAATTGACATCAGAAATACCCTTATATAAACAATGTTTTCGTAATTTAAGGATATTTTTAAAAATCAGGCAAAATTATTTGTGGATGAAGTAAAAAAAGAGCAAAATCGGATATGTATGTTGAGGCCTCTAATTAGTATACGACTACCATGTCTTTAACAACGACAACAACAATAAAACAACCAAACTTACCTATAAAAACTAAAAGGCATTAATTACCAGCAAACATCTCTTAATAAGCCTCTAGGGTACCCCTAAAATTGAACTGCCAGCTTAACAAAAAAAGGCTGGCTGCTACATGGTCCACAATATCCTGGATTAACCTGTATCCAATTCAGGAAAATGTTTTTTTTTTTTTTAATTTCAATTAAGTACAGTCTTTATGAATACAATGAAAGCCAATTTTTGCAAAACACGTGTGGCTAAAAGCAACTGTGTTAAAAGACTATCTGTTGCTCCAAATGAGTTGACAAACCATTCCGACAAAGGTCTGTCTACACAGCACGTATTCTATGCTCTGGGGGCCACATATCATTTCTAGCTGCTTTTTTTTTTTAAATAACCCTCAAAAACCTAAAAACCATTTTTCAGCTTTCAGGCTGTACAAAAACAGACCACAGGCTGGATGTGGCAACAGCTGTAGCTTGCCACCCCTCTTCTAAACTGAGGTGACACAATGTTGTGTCAAATATATTGCAATAAAGCTGGGAAAAACTTATTTGTGGAATTAACAAATGAACCATCTGTAGACATTTGTGCTAGGCATTCTGTATCTTAGATTGTGTTTTGGGAACTCAGTATATTAGCTATAAAGTTTTAAAATTATGAAAATGTTCATAATTTCATGTGTGACTCTAAGTCTCATAAGTAGGAAGCTTGATTTGTCATTAGTGATGCTGCACTGTTTAAAAAATAATAACTGAGGTAAAATGATCTTAGGTGAAATATAATACTTAGGTGGAATATAATACTCTAAGGTAATATACTTTATTGATACACTCTTAACCCCTTTGCTGTATAACAGAAAAGAGAGTCAGGACAATCACCTGCTCAAAATGAGGCACAACGACATATCAGTGTAGTTTAGTATTTGCTCTCCTGACCTGAGATCAGTGATCTCTTCTTCTCAGGCAATGAGACCTAAAGACACCAACAACATGATAATACACAGACAAGCAAGTCTACCAGAAGCAACACTTACATAACGCCAAGAAAGCGTGCTTCGAGGCCATAAGAACTAGCACTCTCCGGAGGATGTCCTTATTAATAATGTAGTTCTTTATGTGGTAGGTATGGTGCTCCACACAAAATGTTAACAATTCCAATACAAGTGCCAACAATTGAGCAGTCTGAAAATCATCTAAAATAAACAAAACAAAATTTATATTTAATGGCTAATATTCTTTTCTTCCCCAAATGTAAGAATCCAAATTCCAGTCAAGTACAATCCCTTCTATTAAGGCAAATATCTTAAAGTTAAGAAAAAGGAAACTAATATTAATTGAATGCCTACCATGTGCCAAGAACGCTTCCCATGTTTCCTTATTTAAACAATCTATGAGGAATTAGTTACCCAAGACCCAAGTTGGAAAAGTTAGTAAAGCAGAGACGGGATACTGATCTATTAGATCTGCTTTATTCCAAAGTGTGAGAATGCTCCTCCATGTCTTAACACATCCCTCAGCAGATGCACACACAGCACAGGAGGTCCTGTCGGGCAACATCTGGGCTTTGGTGGAATTACCCTCTCTGCTCCTACGAATCAGTTATCTAAAGTTATCTTCTGTGCCTCCTTTTTGCATATGAATCCACAATGAATTGTAATGATCGGCTTCCTCACCAGGCAGCAAGCCTCTGAAATTATTCTACTCACTTTTTTCAATCCCCCCATTAACCTCCTAAAGATCATAGAACATGCCTTCCATGCAATGGGCTCTCAATGAATGTTTGATGAACTGAACATGTGGGTTTGGAAAAGAAGCCTCAGACTTTACCTAATATCAATCAAGTAAATAGGAAGAGTATCATGTTTCCAAGACTTGATTCGAGAGTCATAAAAAAAGGTAATTTAACCTTTATTTCCTAAGTGGTGTTGTAAATTAAAATATACTATATTGAGCCCTGGCCAGTGTGGAGCAGTTGGCTGGGCAGTCCAAAGGGGTTGAAGATTGTGGATTCCATTCCCAGTTGGGGCGTGTGCAGGAAACAACCAATCCATGTTTTTCTCCCTCTCTTTCTCCTTCCCTCCCCCCTCTCTAGAATCAGTGAGTATGTCCTTGGTTGAGGATTTAAAAAAAAATACTATATTGATAATTCATATGACAAAATGATGTATTCCCAAAGTTTCAGTAAGGGATTTCCAAATGAAGATCCTAAAACCACTTTCTAGATTAAACAGACACACATAAGCTGAAAGCCAAAGGAATAAAATGAAGAAATAATAAATAATTAAAACAAAAATAATCCTCAATGCAAATAAAAATAGCTTAATTTTGAGTAATTTGCTCTACTACACACATCAAGTAAAAATAACTTAAAATGAACTTATAACTACTTCCTTCTATTTATTTCACCTATATAAATGCAAATGAAAAACAAATATTGCTTTAACAAAAATTTTTCTTTGAATTCTGAAAGCAACAAGTATTTCTTACATTCTTTTACCTTTCTGTTATCTTGATTATAACACTTTAAAGAATTTTACTTTGAACTCCACTTTTGAAAATACATTAGACCTTTATATTAACACTAACTGTACGTTTCAGAATTCAAGCTCAAAGTACTACCAACCCGCATTATGTTACCTTTGCTAGGTTTGTCTTCTGTTGTATTCGCCAGTAAAGGAGCAGTGAGGACATGCATACAGTGTTTGTAGAAGAAACCCAGAAATTCAGTCTTTTCTGTTTTCTAAGGAATCAAAAACACTTCCATGAACTTTAACTGCACTGGTTCCTACCAGCAATAAACAATATACTAGCATGATAAACAAAGACACGCCCATGGCTTACATTGGCAGTAGCTAACATGTTCTCTGGGTCAACTAAAGTTCGGAGCAGGCCCATAAGTTGGACTGCTCCTCCAAGTTCAGGGTCTGTATCACAAATCATATGTTCTATAATGAGGTTGATGAGCAAAATATCCTGGTGAGAAAAATACAAAAAGGATCACTTATTATGAGAGAATGGAAGAAGTACATACTATGACATGCTACAGCATTATACCTAGCTCTGTCTTAGTAACTACAAATGAAATGAAATGACTGACTTAAATAGGTTATATGGCATTGTTTCCCTAAAATGTAGTATAAACACATTACACTAAACAATACTGTAAAGAAAGTTAGTTTTTTCTAGTATTTTTAAATCTGACTAAAGCAAAAACACAGTTTCAGTTTGGTGCTAATAATCTTTACACCTCTTGAAAACAAACTCTCTCCAGAAGAAAGGTAATGGGCCTTAGGTTCATAGTTTTAATAGTAAGAATATTTAGCTAGAATTTATAACTTTATTCTACTTTCACTGAATTTTTATGGATTACTTCTATTCATGGCAAATGATATCTATACCTGTTCTCAACTTACGGGAATAATATAAAGTTTCCATTTTAAGAAAAAATTAGTTGGTACCTGCATGTTTGAAATTGGGTAAAGCAAGATTACAGTATTTAGAGGACAACAGGAGAATAAATGTATTATATAGATTCCAAGTGTCATAGAAAATTGACTGCTGGTTTTCCTGAGGTTCTACTATGACTGGTGTTCCTGGCCCAAAGAGTGAATAAAAATTGAGAAGGATTCAATGAGAAAAATCCCTGCTCTTGCCTATACATGCAATGGTAGGATAGACAAAAAGAAAACAAGAACAGTATATGAAAATGACAATTAAGACTGGGAATCAAGAAACCTACTGTGTGTGAGTAAAGTACAACAATGTATGTTCAACTAGTGGGTCGCAGCGCCAACAAGAATAGCCTTTATTTTAATATAGATATTTTGGTTTTCAAGATTGGACTATTTTATAAAAGAAAAGTGTGATAATATGTAAGAGTTCAAACTTGTACTTTTCTGCACCTATTCTGACATTAAAATTTTTTTAAAAACCTTAAATATAGAAGTTACCATTCTACTTTGTTTTGACATCACTACACATGAGTATCTTTCTAAAATGTAAGTTTATTTCCTCATTTTTTAAAAATATGAGAAAAAAATTCTATACAGAATTTTAGCCTTAAGGGGATGTCTCCACCTCCCCCGCCCCCCCAAGCCTTAAGGAGTTCAGGGCAGAATCTCAGTTTATTATTAAGTAAAAAATTACTTTCACAATTTTATGGGGGAAGAAGGGGGGGGAATCAGAATCATTGCTTTAATTATCTTAAAATAGAACAGAGCACACACAAATGGCTATCACGTATGCTGCATTACATATATCCTGGGAGTGCGCTTCCCATTGCCAAGATATCTTATTCCCTCACTTATTTTAAAATTAGTATGTGTGTGCATGAACAAGACAATAGCTTGTTCCCCATGGGTAGGCAGTAAAGGCACCCTAAACACTTTCTAAGGGACTGTGCTTCATTTCTTCATTCTTGATGATTTTGAGAATCATTCCCTAGCAAAGTCAATGTTTTCCTAGGAAAGTTATCCGTAATTCCACATAAAGAATAACAATTTAGCCCTGGCTGGTATGACTCAGTGCATTGAGCACTGCCCTGAGAACTGAAAGGTCAACGGTTTGATTCCCAGTCAGGGCACATGCCTGGGTTGTGGGCCCAGCTGGGGGCATGTGAGAAGCAACAGATCGATTTCTCCCTCATGCACTGATGTTTCACTCCCTCTCCCTCCCTTCCCCTCTCTCTACCAGGGAATAAAATCTTTATTTAAAAGAAAAAAAAAATTATTGATTCAATGATTTAAACAATAAAGTTAACTTCAGAATTAAGGATCTCAAAATTTTTAAAAGACACTGAGGTAGACCATTATTAAATAACTGCTGTAAGGTACACTTTAAAACTGAGACAGGAGCCAATTAAGGGGAAGAACAGGCCATATGACATTATGGCTACACTCTTCCCAAACGTCAACTATTTAAATTTTAAATAAATACAGTTATTGCTCCCCATGTACAAATACTTACTGTTAGTGCAAATAATATTTACCTTGCTGGTTATTTTTTGCTCTGTTAACTTCTTACTTACATCATCATTCTGCTGCGCCTCCTGCATGACAAACTCTCGTACCATGGATGGGTTGTATTCAACCAAGTATGAGAATATATCAGTAGCAGCACTTCGCACCTGTGTGTCATCCATGCCCTGCAGATAAAAAGCACTTATGTCTCCTATAATTATAAAAATAGGGAACTTACGGCTACATAAAATCAAAACCTAACCCATTAAAAGAAAACACTGCAATGAGAAAAGAGATCAAAGATATTCTGCTGTGTATTAAAACCCTTGTTCAATGGATAAAGTTATACTTTCATTCTTATTTACTTTTCTACTTTAACATGTCAGCAGGCTGCAAACTTAACAAATTATTATTAAAAATATAAAAAATTCCTGAGTAGTCTTTCAGTACTATTTAAGAACTCTAATACTTAAGTTGTATAGTTTTAATGTTATGTAATACACAGCTAATATTAAGTATTGGCTATAATCAAATACTGGCATGTTATGTAAAAATATACTACTTTTGTAGATTAAAAATATAATGGTATTTAAAAATGAGAAAGAGTCTTACAAGGATGACTTCCAAAGCTGGTAATATGCCCATGTTTGACAGAGTCTTGAAAAAAGCATCTCTGTTTTGAGGTTGCAGCGTTTGGGAAAACGCACAAAATTCTTTTAAAAAGTTAACCTGAAATTAGGAAAAAGGGTAAGTGACTATAAAAGGTCTGTTGTTTTAGTTTCATGTCCTTTATAATATGAAATTTCTTACCAATTCCTGTCTTTTTTCCTCATCTGTTGCTTCATCTGTTAGTTGTGCAAACAAATCTGTCAAAAATTTTTCATCTTCCTATAAAATCAAAGGATAAATTATGCTAATTAATGGTAAGAGTATAATAAAATATTTTCAAGATGCCATCATAGAAGATATGAATTGCAATAACTGGAAAAAAAGGAAAGAAAGTATTGGCGATGCTGTTTTTTAAAAGAGAGAAAGAAAAACTAAACTACTAAAGGATAAATTGGCAATTTATACAGAAAAACTGTTCTTTATAACTTGGCAAGGCTCTATTTCCTAAGCCCATTTAAGGGCACACTGTAAATATTTTAGGCTTTGCAGGCCATATGGTCTCTGCCACAACCACGCAACTCTGTTTTTTATAAGAGGAAGCAGCCAGAGACAGTATGTAAATAAATGAGTGTGGCTGTGTTCAAATAAAACTTTATTTACGAAAACAGTTATGGCCTATAGTTTGCAGAACCCTGGTTCTCATACGGTTTTCATAACCTTAACTTTAGAAGTTAGGGTTTTTTTTGTTGTTGTTGCTTTAGAGAGGGAAGGAGGCAGGAGGGGGAAGAGACGGAGGGAAGGAGGGAGGGTACGTGTCAGTATGTTGTTCCACCCACTTACACATTCACTGGCTGATTTCTGTGTGTGCCCTAACCCTAGGCGTAGCAGGTCAATGCTATAACCAACTGTGCTACCTGGCCAGGGCCAGGAGTTAAGGTTCTACAACCTTTCAGACAAAGATAAAAATGAGGACAAAGCTTCCCTGATGTTTTAAAGACACAGAAAATTATTCAATATTTTAAAAAGCTACATTCAGAACTTTAGAAACATCTATTATTTGGAAATAGCCATATTATACACATAAATATGCGTTACATTATTTTGAAAGGAATTCAAAAAATACTCTCGCAGGGTAAGTCAGAGTACAGATCCTGGAAAGAAACTTAGATGTTATCTTACCTCTTATTTTATAATTGAGACAGATTAAGACATTTCCCCCAAGCCCAACCACAGTGGGTGGCAGAGACCTCCTAATACCCTGTTCCATTTTTTCCATCCCTATTTTTAAGATTTTTGTTATATTTTAATTCCACACTATCTGAGCTAGGAGTAAATTCAACACTACAGCCATATAGACACGCCTAAGTCTAAAGATATATACACATACCGGTGTGTACACAGTCTCCTACTAAATTATAACTCTATTTTCCTGTTCTGGGTGTTTGAAAAACATTTTCAGTGATACTGAATTGGTTATTCCCACCTTTACTTTTTTCCTAAAGTGTACAAATAGGTCATACCTCAAATGGCATAAAATTTCAAGATGTATCCCAGATATAATGTATTCCATGAAATGGAAATCAAATGATTAAAAAAAGATTCTGTGAACTGCTCCACTTGATATATAGAAGTAGAGAGAATAAGAATGATTAATAGTGTTATGTAGAGAGAAGGCAAAGGTAAGGGATATGATAGTGTACTTAAGGTGGGTAAAAACTGCTTTTAATTATATCTCTATCACTCCTCATCAAAAGTTTGTAAAATTCTCCTTTCTTACCAAAGCACTTAACTTTATTCATACTTAATCAGCAAAACTGGCACCGGTATAAAGACCAAGAAAACACAGAAGTGACAAATCAATGTCTAACAAAATTAAGAACCATGTGAGGCTGAAGAAAAGGACCAGTAACATTCAGGACTATCCAAGGAAACCAGGAATCAAAACTGGACCAGAACACAGACCCATTAGGTAGCTAGTAAAAACCAGTTCCTTATCAAAGAACAACTGGAAATTGGTACCAAAACCCTTCTTCTTCCTCCTCCATTATCAATTATAATACACAGTACAGAGGATTACTATTATACTTACCAGACTGTATTGTCTATACTATTTTTGACATGTCTTAAATAAACAGAAAACATGTAAAATTAACATGAATTGGATTACTAGTTCCAGGAAAGCAATTTTGGTAAAACTGACTTCTATTTGAAGTCACCTTTTTAAAGAATGACAAAGGCCAAGGACACTGAAAATACAGCATTTTTTCTAAAAAGGAACAGACACAAAAATTAAATCTACTGCTTTATTTATAGTATGTGCCACAAAGTAGCTTGTACCGATACTTATTTGCCTCCTTGCTTTATTGAACAAGTCCAGGTTTCAAATAATTATTGTTTGTAGATCTGAGGTAAGGCTTTATATCTTTCAAGTCATATCACGTATCTGTTTTTATTACAGTATCGTGGGAATCAAAGAAACAAAAAACATGGGATGTATATGACACACAAATCTTTGCACTATGCAAACTTCTATTTCAGTTAGAATAGACTAATTCACACACTATGGGATAATATATTTGCAGGTGTTATAAATGTAGGTTACTGGCCAGCTCAGAGATTTTGATTCTGTGTTTTGTGCAGAATCCAGGAATTTGTAGCCTAGGCAATCCTGATGCAAACAGCCTGAAACACCAGACCCAAAAGACTGGGAATACTTTAAAAAAATTTAGTTATTTAAACGGGAACATGAAACTACCTCTGCTAAAGACAATAGTTCAAATGGTATCGATCAAGTAGGTATCTTTTTAAACAGGAAAAAAGAATAATCAAACTCACCTGTAACATACCAACAATTTCTACCTTATTGAAAAAAATGAAGGAGTGAAGTGTTGATAACATATTTTCTTCGAAGACTGAAGGGGTAGGTAGAACCATATCTTGTATATACTGGACTCTGTATGTCTGATGAATTTTTTGTTTCAACTCAGGATCTGATATGGGAATCACTTCTTTAAACTTGGCTGTTTTTGTTAGAAATTCCCTGTGTTTTCGTGGTTGTGATAAAGCAGGATCATATTCTAAGCATCCAATGACATCCATTATACATTCCTCAGAGAACATAACTTCAAAAAGAGCAGTTCGATTCAAGAGGAAGATGCCTTTGATAATTTCATACAAGTGGTGAAGTCCTTCAATATTTTCCAAATCCTCACACACATGAAAAAGCTCTAAAAGCTTTTTAATGTAACCCTCATTTTCCAGTGCTAGTGCAAGTTTTTCACGACGCAGGGGGGAAGGTAAAGATGATGCCACAAGTTCTGCAATTTCCTCAAGGCGACTTAATTCACAAGATGGTAATTCTAAACCTGGCGATGACATATCATCAAAACGCTCCTCTTCAGATTCATCTACAAGGTCCTGAGTGATGTCCACTGAAGGGTCCTTTCCTTGAACCTATTAAATCAGATTTATGATAGCTGACAATATAATCAAGCAAATCCAAATAATATTCTTACATAAATACAAGAGATGTAAGAAACTATAATGACAACTTTTAAGTTTAATACTCCTTCAAATCTGACCCAACTGCCTACTTTTCTAAGTTACATCTCTATAAGTAATATATACTTTTCAATTTTAAGGAAGTTAGTTCAAAGGGATGAGCTTCCTCATCAGTGCAAGAGTGATCAGCAACAGAAACATTCTAGGATATGCTCCGTTACCGTGTAGAAGGTGTGCCCTGCAGACCCTCACTGTGAGGCCTGTGCTAAAACATCCACCCACATCTTATACCCATGGCCCTCCCTTCTAACAGACCAGGGCAAGTCTCAGGAACATTCACTGCATTGTGCTCCAGGAGAGTCACCAATCTCCTCAAAGATAAACTTAAAAATATCATAATGCTGTGACCATAGAAAATATATGTTATTATAAGCAACAAGGAAAATAATTAATGTCAACTCTAGAAATCAATGGCCAAAGAGCACATACCAACTGGCTTTGGACCAAAGTGGGTCACTGATTTGCTGGAAACGCTGGTTGGTAGCCCAGAATATGATTACGTAAACTGAGTGGGAAACAAGTGCACACATACAGAAATGAAACCAGGAAAAAGTAACTGCAACCTATATTTAGTAGAGCTATCCCCAAGAATATCTGCTAAAAGTTAAGGAACGAAAACAACAGAAAAGTTTTCCTGTCTACATACACAAAGTTGTAGCTTTCTGGACCCTCCAAAGTCCTAAAGTTTGTCATTAAACCCCAATTTTATGTCAGTGTAAAAGCTCTAATTATAAAAAGATAACTAAGATTAAAAAATATTTTTACAAAAGGCCAAAGACATATTTTTAAATAAAAGCAGTTTTACTCTCTTGGCCCTATCATTTGAGACCGCCACTAAAGCAGCCCCATAGGCAAAACTGAATGGTAGAAGTATGGAAAAATTGGGCCTTACATAAAATGGCCAAGAAACTTAAACTGCTAAGCACAGTTATAAGTGATTGCTGGACACTAGATGGGAAGAAGACCTGGAATATGTCTTAAAATATGCTACAAGGTGATACCATCTTGACCTTGACCCAGAGGGCAGACCACTGAAAGGAGGCTAGGCACATTCACAGCTTGTAACTCCTATGATCTCAAGTTTGGCTCTGGATCTGTTATTTACTTTAGAGTCCTAATACTGAAATCATGGCTTTACCTATAGAATAATGGTAGCATTTAATTAAAAAAACAAATGAAAAGGGACAAGAGCTTTTACTGTAATGAAAATACTATCTTCTTGAGCTAATTTACAAATATAAAGGTTAAGAAGATAGTCAAAATGACCTATATTTAGGATACTCTTGGAGTCTAATCTACTCAGGGCATCGAGGTGAGATTGTACAATTTGACAAACATGTTTCAGTCGTACTTTCAGAACTGGAACAACAGAAGAATGAAAATAAAAGAAAGATATAAGCTAGCATTGAGCTTTCATTAAGAGAAAGTATGAATCTTAGAAGTCAGTCTGGACAAATATGAAGATAATGAGAATGTGAAGGACATGAAAAATATAAAAATTAAAAAGAGATGAACCCAGACATAACTTCTATCAAAGAGTATACGAGAAAATGGTTTCTAGATCTAAAATGGTGAGTTGGATTCAAAACATTTAGAAACATGTAAGATCTCAAAGAACAAAACAGAATTCTCTTGGATAAGCCAGGATCAGAAATAATGATTGAGAAGTACAGACAGGACCGTAAAAGAGTGACTGAGAAACAAAATACTGAACATAAACTATGTAAAAGTTGGAGAAGATCAGAGAAAAACATACAATAGCCTAGAAAAGTTATTGCAGAGAAGGTATACAAGTACTATGTTACCTGTGACCAAAATGAAAATGACTATGAAATTTATGGTATTACAGACTAAGGAAAAGTACAGTAAAGATCAGACAATTATATTAAAGGAGAGCCAGACATGGTAATAGATTAAATGCCAGTCTAAGTTAAATATTGGCTTAATAGAAGAGCGGGTCCAGAGTGCAACAGTGCAACTCAGGAAGGTGAAGGAGCACAAGACGGGTCTGAAGGAGTGCCAGTAATTTTAGCATACCCCTAATTTCTTCTCTTTTTGTGGTAGAATTCCACAGGACAAATTCTAGAAGAATATGCTATAAAAAACAATTTTATGAAACAGAAAGCAAAGAAGGAATTCAGATATAAATGTTAGCCTCTTACATGTTAAGAGAAGGAAGGGACAGCTTAAAAGGCAGGTTCATTTATAGCAGAAAAAAACAGCTGAGTAGAATATATAGCAAAAATAAATTCTACAAGTTAAGGAAAAACTGTGTCTCCAGAACACTGTGGCTTGATACTAAGGCAGTGGTTCTCAATCCTCAGGGTGCATTAGAATCTCGCAAAGCAAGGACTGACCGACTACAGCCAAACTTGGCCCACCATCTGTTTTTGTAAATGAAGTTTTACAATAAGAAAACCACTCCCATTTATTGATGTGTTATCTATGGTTATTTTTGCACTAAAACAGCAAAGTTGAGTAGCTGTTAAACCATGTGGCCCCCAAAGCCTAATATCCTTAGCTCTTGTCCTTTACACAGAAATCTGACCAAAGGCTCTATTAGACCATACTCATGCTGCTGATCCAAGGACTAAACCTTGACAATGACTGAATTAGGAATATCTGAAGATTATTCTCCAGCTAAAATAAAGAAACTGTCCTTAGGATGCAACGGTCTAAATGAGACCATAACAAGAGCCAATGCCTTAAGCCATTGGAGCACATAAAATGCATTCAAAAGATTATGGAAATTATAGACTGAATGGGAAATTCCAGAATCAACTAGAGCATGCAAGATGAGGTTGAAGAAACCGTTAAGAGCCACAGAAGTTACTTAACAAAGTGGTATGATCAGACTTGCTTTTTAAAAAAGATCACTCTAGCTGTGGTATGGATTTTAATGAAAAGACCAGTCAAGATGAAATAAACCAGGCAAGAAAAGAAATGATAAACCAAGTGAAAATTAAGGCAAGTGAATGGACTTAAGATTTATAGTTGAGACTGAAGGAATAGGAGTGAAGGAAGGATAAACACAACCCTCACGTTCCTGGTTTCAGCAACTGGATGATTACTTACTGAGATGAAAGAGATAGGAGAATGAATAGGTCTAAGAGATTATGTTTGGTTTTGGACTATTAAATCTGAGATGCAACTGGGAACTAACAGGAGCTCTCAAAGGCAACTGGACAGAAAATTCGGGCATACAGCAAAGGTCTGGGCTGGATAGTTTGATGTTAAGAAACTGAACTTTTCTATAAATCAGGCTTTTCATAGAAAGCAGTGAATTTAAGAGATCTAGTTGAAATGCTTGTGTACAGAGATGGGCAAATGCAGGTTTACAGCTGCAATACAAATAAATGCAATAATTAATAAATAATAAAAGACTAAACTGTGTTTTGCATACTTACAACTGTAAACCTCCTTTTGCCAACCCCTATATATATTTAAAATACTGGGTAGTAGCTGAAAGCATAGCAAAAACCCAAAATATTTAAAGAGAGTATGTTGGTTTTCTAATTTTCAAAATTACCTGACATATTTTCTCCCAAATTTCATCACATCCAGCTTTTTCTTGAAAGCTAAGGGCCAAATCATAATTTTCAGCTTCCGACCACACAATCAAAGTATCCTTGAGAGGAAAAAAAAAGAAGTCTGAATGATTAACATACATTATCAAAAACTACTTGAATGTGTAAGGCAAATGTATAAGCAACAAGAAATTGAGAACAGTATTCCATTTTTACTTTTTGAAACACTGATACTGATAATTACCTATGCCTTGTTACATGTCACTTTATCCAATCTATAAAATGAAAACTATTTTTCTTAAAGAATTTAACCAATATATGAGCACAACAAAATGAGCTTACAGTCTAAATGTACTAAAACATACAAAGTAAACATTATATCAATCCTATGCTTGCATATTGTTATATTTTATGCCCAAAGAGAAGGTCTGAGCATTTAATAACAACTAAGGCATGTTAGGAGAGGATGGGATTGAGAAACCTAGCTCCTTCTTCTGCTGTCAACATCAAGTATTTTTTACTTGGGGTACACAGGGCCCACGAAATCCTTCAAATTACTGGCTACATTTGTAATATGCGAGCATTTATCTAAACAGATTTTTTTTTAACTTTCACCAGTGCTGTGGTTCAAGAAGCAAGCTCCTACCACCCCTCTACTCCTATTCATTTCATTTTTTTAATGGTAGTAATTTAATAAACAGTTCAGTTTTTATTAAGATGTAATCTAGCAAAACACTACACTTACAATGTGGAGATCATTTTATATTCCCTGTAGCACAAAATAATGTGTCTTACAATATTTATAGGTTCTAGGTATCTTGTGAAACTTACTGCCAGTAAATAAACATACACACTCTTTCATAGCAATCAACCATTTTTTTAGAAGAGGGCCCAGCCCTGACCCGAGTGGCTGAGTGGATTGCGTGCTGGCCTGTGGAACAACGCGGTGCTGATTCCACTCCTGGTCAGGGCACATGCTTGCGTTGTGGGCCACGTCTGCGGTTGTTTTCTCCCACTCTTTCTCCCTCCCTTCCCCTTGCTCTAAAAATAAATAAAATCTTTAAAAACGGAAAAAGGGCCCTCTTATTGAGAGAGGCCTATGACATGTTGAATGGCACTCAGGAGCATTACATTTTTTAAAAGCCCAATATAACCGCTATCATGTAGCATTTTTTCAAACTAGTCCAAAGAGAAGAATAAGAGAAGTTATAGAGTTAGATGGATTTGAGTACAATATAGAGAAAAAAATAACTCAATCCAACTAATAAGTAACTGAAAGGAGCCAAAAAAAGGTGGGCTGAGGATCTATCAGGGTGCATAAAGTTCCTGGATTAGGTTACCTTTAAGGTACCTTCAAGGACCTATATTTTTACTATGGCAGTTTCTAATACTCTTCATTACCCAAGAAACCTCTTACTGGACACAAATGGATTTCATGTTTAAAAATGTCTGCTAAACTTGTAGATTAACTGTGTGGTCAAGTATATAACTGTCCATCATAAGACCAATATAATCTCTTACTGAACTAAAGTAATGCCAGCCACAAAAGGGAAGGAGGGAGGGAAGGAAAGAAATAGTAAGTAATGCCAGAAAGAAGTGTGTAAATGATCATTTGATCTGGGTGTGCAGCACTGCTATTAGTGAAAATCCATAATCTTACTCAGAATTTTTAAAGACCTCTTTTCAACTATATTCAAGGACTGCTAGTGATCACAGATGCCGGGTAGGCAATCTGTTCCACAGTGATGAATAGCTGTTCAGGCTCAAAATTATTTACATGGACATTGTAAGATCAACATGCCAGAAATTAGGTGGGTTATCTCCCTGAACCGCAGTATCTTCATTTTTAAAATGAGTATAATACATACTATTATTAAACATGGTAATAGTATAAGACCCATAGGAAAAAGCCCAAAATCACTATCACATTAGTAATAAGACAGATTTAATGTAACTGTAAGCAACTGCTCTGCTACAATGTATATTCAGAATCATTTGAAGGCTTGCATTAGGGCACAGCTAGACATCTCTTAATTATCCATTTGGCAAATTTGGAAGTTACAGAATTTTTATACCTTGCTCTTCAGTTTTCCTAGAAGAGCCTTATTTTCATCAAATGACTCTGCCTGTTTATCACCCAATGGCCTAAAGGTTAAAGCATGGATTTATGCATTCATTCTTAAAATACACCTGATCTTCTTACTAAACACTAAACTAAAATACACCTAATTTGTCTTCTTAGGATATGCTCTTATATTTTAGCTGACCAGAACCTCAAAACATGAATTTATATATTTAAGTATAAAATATCGAAGTCAAAATACTCTAGTCTCCAACCATTCCAGTCAAACCTAAAAATTTCCTTAACACTAAATGCAATAAAGCATTAAGTAGACCATTAAAATATCAGGAAAATATCACATTGTACCACTGTTTTTGGACAAATAAATCACCGTTAAATAAATTTAGGAGTTAAAATAAATTTTCCTAGGTACGCTCTGTGTGACTTCAAACAAGTCACAATCTTTAGGCATCGCCTAATGGGTAAAATAAAGATCCTTCTAGTAGTATTTTAGTGTCAATGATGAAGCAAAGCACTTTATAAAATGGTATATGAATGATAAAGTAATATATATATGTATGAATGTTGGTAATATTGTTTACTGTAAATTATCTTTGCACCTTCAGGGCAATGAGGAAACATACCAATTTCACTGACTTTGTAGAACAGTGTATGTATGAGTGCTGAATAAATAGTGTTTGATGATAGTGCTAGTAGGTACTAAGTGAGGGAAAGATTTACTTGCAAAAATCTTTCGTACATCAGAAAGGTACAAGAAAGAGCATACTCAAATTGAAAGTTGCCTTAAACACTGTAACATCATTATAAGACCTCTTCGGGCTATGTAAGAAATCAGACTCTTATCTACACTGTGTTGTTAAACAGGGATGTGAGTATTCCTTCTGCACTAGCATGCACAACAGCAAAGAAAGGAGCTTCTACTATTTAGCTGTGTTACTGGCTAATGATTACAACGGTGGTCTCTTAAAAAAAGAACTTTTGACAGACACGAGAAAACTGTTTTAGTTTTAATTTTCAATTACTAAGGCTCAGCTGCTAGACTATCTGGAACACAGGCTTTGCTTAACTCAAGTTTTTTAATTTAAAAGGACTGCTGTCCACACAAGAGAAATTGGTAGAAATCAACTTTTTGAAATTAGGCTGGCAAAATATGTTGTAATCTGTTTTTGAGTTTTTCATTGTAAGGAATCAGAGGGTAAATTTCCATTTAATCACCAAACTGAGAGGTATAGTAGGCAAAATAAAACACATCTTCAAATTTTTACCTGTTGTTTCTGGTATGCAGTGTTAGGATTTATTTTGGATTCTAAAAGTAGAGAGCCTAGGAAACAAAAAAAAAGACATTCCATTACATAATTGCAAAGCTGCAAAGTTATGTATTACATACACACATATTTCCTTTTCTGAAGGTGTGCTGCGCATACAACTTCACTTAAGGAAACTTCTTATAATATAGCAATCACCACACTTCTCCATCTTCAAATAATCAGTTTATTTCTCATTGTAAACTAATTTGCATATTCATAGATTTTCCCCCTTGGTAGCCTAGTAAGACTCATGATATGTGGAAAACAACTACCACTTTGTGACAAAGAGCAAACTTTAAGACTAAACTTATACCTCTCCCCTCATCCACAAATTCCTAGCTATACCCCAACACATTAATCTAAAGACAAGGTTCTGGCCCAAAATGCTTGAGAAGAAGCAGGTTTCTCTGCACCTGTCTCTCACCCTAAGCTTTCATTTCTTCTCATATAACAACAGCTGCTTTGCCCATTCCAAAAGAATGCTCTTAACATTTCCAGATTTAATTAGCTTGCTTTTATGTTAAAATTTGTTTAGTAACTTATGATACTGTCTCACGTTAGTGACTTACTGACCACGTATTGTACACTTCTATGTGCTCATAACAGTGCTAAGTGTTACACAATAAAATACCAGCATTTGCCAAGCTGTGATGACCTCATCTGCAAATACCCCAGGCACACGAACAGCCTCCCACTTGGCACTAATCCTCCCTCTATGTCTAGCACGGGTGAACTGCTTAACCCAAAATCTTTTCCTTTCTGTACTTAAGGTAACTAAACAACCTCCATATTTTTCCCACCTGTATCCCCAACACCCCATTTCTTAGGTCTCTTTTCTTTTTACTAATTTTAGCTGAAGTTCAGATAAATATTCTCACATTCCAGAGGAAATTCTGTTTAATCTTCTTCCTCTTGTTCTAACTTTTGCCAGGATAATCAAATAAATTTTCCACTGTCCCTTCAATTTTCTTTATGCACAATTACTGGATTTTTATTTTGGTAATTTTTAAGAAATGTCATAGTGATACACTCATAAGAAACAGCAGCAAGTGAATGAACTCAATGTCTACAGTCCTTAAAAGTATTAAGTCTCCAACTATCTTTGTAAATATTCTCATTGTTTTAACTACTAGAACAAAAATTTTATCCTATTATTTCCCAATGAAATCAGACTATGTCAAGTACATTATGCATCGAACTTTTTAAAGATGGGTCGTGGCATGTAATTACATTCAAAACATGGTTTCTATGAAAAAATACATTCTAAAAAAACCTACTTTGAAATATCATGTCCTCTAGTCCATCTCTAGGAAACTATAAGATAATAGAGTGAACAAAACAACTGGATTACTTTATAACATTTCAGAAGCACCAAGAAGTGTAGTGTCATAGAACCACACTAAGTAATATCTCTTTAAATGCTGAACTGCACAAAAGCACAACCTACCACTCCCCACCCCTCCAAAAATGATCAAAATTAAAAATTCCTGTGCTGCAAATAATACCATCAGGAATATGAAAAGACAAACCACAGAATGGGAGAAATTATTTGGAAATTACATATCTTCTAGGGGACTGGTAACTAGAACATACAACTTAGTAATAAAAAGATGACCTAATTTAAAAATGGGCAATGGATCTGAACAGACTCTCTCCAAAGAAGATAGACAAATTCACAATAAACATGGAAAGACGCTTAACATCATTAGTCATTAAGAAAATACAAATTAAAATCACAAATAAGATACCATTTCGCACAAGGTAGGATGCCTATAATAAAAAGGCAGACAATAACACGTGTTGACAGCCATGTGCAGAAATGGGAACCCTCATACATTTTTGCTTATAGGTACAAAAAAAGGCAACCAGTTTGTAAAAGTTCGGCAGTTCCTCAAAAAATTTGTTACCGCCCTGCCTGGTGTGGCTCAGTGGGTTGGGTGTCGTCCTGCAAACTGAAAGGTCACCAGTTGACTCCAAGTCAGAGTAGCGCCTGGGTTGTGGGCCACATCCCCCTGGCTAGGGGTATGCGAGAGGCAACTGAGATAGATGTTTATCCCTCATATCAATGTTTCTCTCCCTCTCTTTCTCCCTCCCTCCCTCTCTTTCTAAAAAAAAAAAAGTTACCAAAAATTCCACACCCAGGTATATACTCAAGAGATATTAAAACATATCCACACATATACAGGGGTGGGCAAAAGTTGGCTCACAGCTGTGATGTGAAAGAGTTTATTCTACTACTATTATTATAGTCTCCATATGAACTGTAAACCTACTTTTGCCCCACCTCGTACATGTACATGTACATGTACACATGTCCACGGCAGCATTATTCATAATAGCACAAAAGTGGATACAATCCAAATGTCCAAAGACTGATGAATAGATAAATAAAATGAAATACTATTCAGGTGTACAAAGAAATGAAGTTCAGATACATGCTATAACATGAATGAACCTTGAAAACTGGCAAAAGACCACATTATTACATGACTGCATTTTAATGAAATGTTCAGAGTAGGCAAATGTAAAGATCTATAGGTGTTGCTTAGGACTGGCAGGAACAGGGAGTGAATGGGTAGTGAATGGATAATAACTGCTAATGGGTACATGATTTCTTTTAGAGAAGACAAAATGTTCTAAAATTAGATTGAGGTAATAGCTGCATAACCCTGAGAATATACTATAAAAACACTGAATTACACACTTTGAATGGGAGAATTATATGGCATGTGAATGCTGTTTTAAAAAAGTTCAAGTGTAGGTCCTGGCCAGGTAGCTCAGTTGGTTAGAGCACAGTTCCGATACACGAAGGTTGAGGGTTCGATCCCTGGTCAATGCACATACAAGAATCAACCAATGAATGCATAAATAAATGGAACAACTAATTGATGACTGTGTCTTTCTCTCCATATCTCCCCTCCCCCACCTTCTTCTTTCTCTTAATAAAAAAAAGTTAAAAGTGTAAATACTCATAATGGCGCATCATCATATAGCAATGTTAATGAATGAACCAAACATGTATAAAAGCAACATACATGAATCTTACAAGCATGAGTGAAAGAAGCCTCAGACAAAAGTGTATACCATGTAATTCCATTCCTATAAAGTTCAAAAAAGGCAAAACTTAATCTATGGCATTAGAAGTTAGGTTGTGGTTTTATGGTATTAGCAAGCAGGTTGTGGGGAGAAAAAGGGAAGACAGTTACTAAAAGGAAGGAACAGGAACAGGCTTCCAGAGTCCTGGTTATTTTGTGAAAATTCACCAAGCTGAATACTTATATTGAGTTGGCCAAAAAGTTCGTTTAGTTTTTTTCCCATATGATGGCTCCAGTAGTGCTTAGTTGTCTTGAACTTCATTCAAAACAACTGTGTTAGGTTGCATTGTGACAGCTGTCATGTTGGCATGCGTTAAAAAAAAAACACATCAAAACTGGTGAATTTTTGTGCAGCCCATTTAATACTGAAGATGGAAAAAAATATGCAACATTTTTGGCTTATTACGCTTTATTATTTCAAGAAAGGTAAAAACACAACTGAAACGCAAAAAAAAAAAAAAAAAAAAGGTTTGTGCAGTGTATGGAGAAAGTGCTGTGACTGACTGAACAAGTCAGAAGTGCTCTGCAAAGCTTCATGCTGGAGCTTTCTTTCTGGATGATGCTCCACAGTCAGGTAGACCAGCTGAAGTTGACAGCCATCACATTGAGACATTAACTGAAAACAATCAACGCTATACCACTTGGGAGAGCCAGCCTACTCAAACTATCCAAATCATCAATAAAGTTATCGGTGTAAATGAAAAACGTCTTTTATTTTATGGAAAAAAACGCAACAGACATTTTAGCCAACCCAATAATTTGTGTACCTTTTTGACATACATATTGTATTTCAAAAGTTTGTTTTTTCCCCAAGTTTGAAAGAAGGGGTGAACAATACATAGCACAGGAAATTGGAGTTAGCTTTCAAGAAACATACAACACCTGACTGGGAACAGCTAAAACAAAACAAAACAAAAATGGCAGTGGTATAACTGTTTTTAAGTATTAGTCCATTTTCCATTTGCTTCAAAACTCGCTCTCAGTTGAGTTACAGGGTCAGGGTAATTACAAAGGAAAAAGCACATGCTGAAAATCTGAAGTGTTCCCTCCCAAAGCTCTGGCTAAAACAAGAATAAGCACATACTAGAGCTTCTGGTGATGGCAAGTATATGCTCTCTGGGGGGCCACTGAATATGTCAGGAGAAAGTATCTTTTCTGAAACCCGTTTCAGCCATACCCCATGGCTTTGGTCTAAAACCCAACTTGTAGAAGCCCATCTCCGGTCCCCAAATACCATGTTCCCTCAGCAATCGGAAGAGGTTGTAGAGGGTGGAACATGGCAAACAGCGTTTTAGTTTGGGGGTTAAGTAAGATAATAATGAAAAGACACATTTTTGGTCCAGCTATTAGGTTCCTCACCTTAATCTTCTGGTTTCTATTGGATCAAGTTATATGCATTTCTCCAGTCAACTGAAAAAGATCCAGCTGAGTGTTAACATGCATCAACCCAACCCTTCCCCCAACAAGTTTACCTGTATCAGTTGCTATAGCTACAGTACTGGGAACAATACTCCCATCCTAGTAATATGAGTATGGATGCAGATGTCCAGTTCAACTGTTGGTGAGAGGCATTCTTCATAGTAGCAGAGACAAAGAGAGAATTGAGGAAGATGATCCTTAGCAGACCGTAAGCAACATCAATGGAGGTAGAAAAGGTTCCCATTAAGGTGTACACATGCTTTTGAAAATGAGAAGGTCCAGTGTATCCTAATAACTGAAGCACACAGATAAAGCAGCCCTCCACTACAACGTATGTGAGAAACACATTCATTCTCTGGAATGGAACAGATGTCCTGGAGAGGACTTCACTCTCACCCTCCCAGTGCCTCCTCCTCCTACCATCTGAGACAGACACTGTCAACAGACCAGAGAAAGACAAGCCCGCACAGCAAATTCCAATATTAAGACTTGAGAAAGGA